AAAATTTTATCACACATAAAGAATTAACATTGGACTAATGTGACTAACAGTCTTCCGTAATCGTCGATATACATTTCAGGAAAATATTAAAGAAGCTTTATTTAAATGTGATATTCTTTTTCTAATATTTATATATTAAATATTACAAAATTGAATTATTTTTTATAGAAATAGGGTGACAAACGAGCACACAGTCCACCTGGTGTTTGCTGAGGCCCATAGACATCTACATCTATCCTCGTTTGCGAATCAAAATACAGATGCGTTGTCAGTCTTGAGGACTAAGATGGAATGCCTCTTTTCCAGTAGAAGGGGTCTCCGGTTCTCTACACTCACCATACGAAACACAGCAGCATTAAGCTGCTATTTTACACTGGTATTCTGTGAGAGCGTGGTCCTTCCCCGGTCGAGCCGACCCATTCGTGCTACATCTATACTACAAATATAGCTGCAGCTTGGCCCTACCAAAATTTTGGTATAACATTTAATAACGATGCGTATCATTTTAAAATTATACTCTAAACTATAAATAGAGGTCAATTTACATTACATCTATCATGAAATATATGAGCAATTACCTTTTAACAAAATTAATATAAAATTTGATGACTAACCAAAAACGGGTCATCTTACATTATAATTATTGCATCGCGGCCATTGTCTTGTACTGCGTACATAGGTTAGGGTCCGATCTTTGAATTTGGAACCGTTGGCTGCGATATTAATGCTTTTAGTTCTATTTATCGTTTTATAAAATTAATAGAAATTATAAATTACGCGCCTTATTAACGCGCCAGTCGATCCTCATGGACAATCTTAGGAGTACTTCTTCTAACATTAGTCAGCACCCGCCAGTTTCCCTGCTGCTGCTGGGCGGTGCTGTTAGCCACACTATCCTCTCGAGATCGATCACCTTCCCTTTCTACAGTTCGCTTAGGGCAGCTGGATAGAAGATGGCCCCTTTCCCCACAGCCGTAGCACCTGGGGCTGTAACCTTTATTACGGTCACGAACTGTAGCTGCTGAAACCTCCCTGAAGCGATGGAAACGATGATCCTGTCGCACGGCTTCCACCTCCAGTGCATGGGCCAACGCGTCCTTAAGCGTCTCGTGGTGCCCGAGCCTCACAGCAGCTCTTACTTCAAGGTCGCGGATGCCGTCGATGAATGTCTGCACCAGGTTCCCTACAATGAGCGCAGGTACTGACTGGTATGCTTTCCGAACCAGCTTCTCCACCTCAAGGGCCCACTGCTGCAGGTTTTCGTTACTGCGTTGCACGCGATCTTTGAGCTGCGCACGAAAGACGTGTTCCAGGTGAGCGTCGCCATATCTCACCTCCAATGCCTCAAGGAGCTGCTCGTACGTCACTTCCTTACCGAGAGCTTCCAGAACAGTTAGGGCCTGGTCGCGCAGGCCTAGGGTGAGAGCAGTCATGGCTTGAATATTATTCCAGCCGTTCGCCTTCATGACAGCCTCGAATTGGATTTTGTAGGCCGACCAGGAAGAAGTCCCATCGAACGGTAACACTTTGAATCCACGTAGCGAAGATGTTGTAGCTACCACGGGAGCTGTAACTCCATCCCCAATTTTGAGGTCGTTCAGCGTTTTCTTCACGTCAACCATCACGTTGTCAACCCGATTGTTCACTTGGTCGATTCGGGTTTCAGCTTCCGACAGGCGGTTGTCATGTTGAGCAACCCTATCCTTCACCTCCCTTATCTCTTTCCCGAAGGTAGCGTGAAGGTCCTTCATGAGAAGAAGCTGCCCTTCCAACCGACGGCCCTGTTCCTGCTATTGGCGGGCCTGTTCCTCCTGTCGGCGGGCCTGTTCCTCGTGTCGGCGAGCCTGATCCTGCAACATCATCATCAGAGCACCTAAGTCAGGTGCTGCAGATGCAGGAGCTGCTGACGGGCCTGCCTCCGTGGTCAGCATCTGGCCCTCCGACGTTTGCGGCGTTGCATTACCAAATCGTCTCTGGTCCGCCTCCAGCTGGCGGTTGACTTCGAGTACGCATACCCTCCGTGTCGTCCTTTGGTAAAATCGGCATGATTTAATCCCACTTCTGACACCAATTGTTACGAGCTTGGGGTTCGAGATAATTAAAAACTGCCGAGTGAATTACCAAAATTGACTATTTAATTACACAAATCTAATTACAACTTAAAATAACACTAATAATAAAACACAGTTCGCCGTTATTTCGCTTCGAAGTATTCTCATTTATCGACAATTCAATACTGCCTCGGTCGTGGTGTATACCGGCCCTATATAGGGCCTCAGATAGTTTCCAGAACCTTCTACTGTAGCGACATCTAGAATGTTCGAGTACATATCGGTCCCGAAATTTCTGGAAGGATCATGACTCTCCTAGTTATGCTACTCGACACTAGAGGGCGCTAGTGTAACTAGTGTTGCCATGTACAAAACATTAATAGTGGCGCGCAACAATATGTTTTTTTGCATATGGGTAGTTATAATATATTATACCACATGGCCGCTTGTTGACTGTGCTGAAGTGTTTGTACAGTAGGGCTACGATGGCTATCCGAGTACAGAATTAGAGTACGAAATCTATCCAACTGCAGAGAGGTGTAAAACAGGGTGATGTGATATCCCCGAAACTCTTCACCGCTGCATTGGAAGACGTTTTCAAGCTACTGGACGGAAAGGATACGGTATTAACGTCAATGGCGAGTACATCACTCACCTTCGATATGCCGACGATATAGCCTTATGGCAGAATCGCTGGAGGACCTAAGCACTATGTTCAATGACCTCAATAGTGTCTCCCAACGGATAGGTCTTTAGATGAACATGGACAAAACAAAGATCATGTTCAATGTCCATGTCACACCTATGCCGGTAGTTGTTGGGAGCACTAAGCTCGAAGTTGTTGAAGAGTATGTTTACCTGGGACAAATAGTCCGACCAGGTAAGTCCAACTTCGACCGAGAAGTCAATCGACGGATTCAACTCGGCTGGGCAGCGTTCGGGAAACTACGACACATCTTCTCGTCAGACATTCCTCAAAACGTTAAAACGAAATTATACAACCAGTGCGTGTTGCCAGTGATGACTTACGGATCTGAGACGTGGTCCTTCACTGCTGGCCGTATGAGGAAGCCCAAGGTCGCTCAGCGAGCTATGGAGAGGGCTATGCTCGGAGTTTCTCTGCGTGATAAACTTACAAATGAGGATATCCGCAGTAGAACCAGAGTGACCGACGTAGCCCAACGGATTAGTAAGCTGAAGTGGCAGTGGGCCGGCCATATAGCTCGAAGAACCGACAACCGATGGGGAAGAAACGTTCTTGAGTGGCAGCCTCGTACCGGTAGGCGAAGTGTAGGGCGACCCACCACGAGATGGAGTGACGACCTGGTAAGATATGCAGGAAGTCGATGGATGCTTTGTGGCATTCCTTGGGGGAGGCCTATGTTCAGCAGTGGACTTATGAAAGGCTGTAATGATGAATGATGATGAACTGATATTCGAAATTCTAAATTTTTGAGGTAGAGCCCATTTATACTATTTTCATTACAAGCGGTAAAATAAAAAAAATTGCACAACCGACTTCAATATAAATATAATTTATTGTTGATTTTTTTAAACCGCTCGACCGATTTCGGTAAAATTTAAATGAGACCACCTGGGAAGTATACCCTTTGGAACCATCGATATATATGTACTACGCACTAGATTTCGCATTCCGAACATTGACTATGTTCAACTGAACTGTACTGCAATCCGTACACTAAACTAAATATTGCGTAAATTAAAGATTTGTGAATTCTATAAGATAATTATTATTACATTTTATTTAGAAATATGTTTGTTTATATTAAAATAAGAGTATTTTATATTAAATTCTTATATTTATTTTATATTAATATCTTATATTAAATTAAAGTCTTCGCGCATGCGCGACTCTACTATCTCCCGCGCGACATAGAGTAGCGCACAATTTTTGTTTGGAATAGCTTCTCTAGTACTTAGTACATATAACTCAATGTTTGGAACAAATAAAGAATTTTTCAAATCGGTTCAGACGTCTTCGAGTAATCAGTGAACATACATAAAAAAAGATTCCGACGAATTGTAAACCTCCTCCTTTTTAAAGTTGGTTGCAAATAGAATCCACTTTTGTTATTAATAACAATTAATCAATAAATAAGACATTATTGGTAACCTAATCATTAATTTCCAACCTACCATTTTTATACAAGTTTATCTAACCAAACGAGAAAGTACTCCACAGGTATCGTAAGGTAACAATTAGTGTGAATACTAAAACACGTTTTTGTATATTTCCATTAGGGATAATAAGTAAAAATCAGAAAGTAAATAATCTGATACTTTAAATCAGCAAATCTTGTATGATATGTAAATAAAACTTGCTTGAAATTTTTATACTATCAAACACTATTGAATAGAAAAAAAAAAACAGCAAAATCTATTAACTAACCACGTAAATATTGCGCTATATACATTTGAAAATACAATCACATTGTAACATCCTCATTTTTAAAGCCCGTTTAAAAGTTTTGGGCTTTTGTACAAATTTTGGCTCTGCTAAATTTAGGGTCGATTTTTCAATCATCAGGTAAAAGTTATTCATAGAATTATTATAATTTTTTTTTATGGAAAAGGAGGCAAACGAGGATGCGGCTCACCTAATAGTAAGTGTCGACCGTCTCCCACGAACAACCGCAACACGAGGGGAGTTGCAGATGCCTAGCTATAAAATACAAAATAAACAATTTAAAATTACATTTATATGAATAAAATAGTTCAATTGTTTCACTTTTATGTTTAGTCTAGTTATAATTTATTTTATGGATAATTTTTACTTGATTTTTAAAAATTCAACCCTTAGTAAACTAGTGTACTTTCCACTACCAACATATCTTTGCAGTCTATTAACATAACTTTATCAAAACAATTTGTTAATCACGCTTTCACTGTGCTATCCACCAGATATTAACAGTTAGTACACAACACAATTTAAGGAGTCACTGGTAAAACATTGGAAATTTTACTAAGATAATATTTATGGTCATATCGAGTCACAAGTATACCGTCCGTTACTTTTACATCGGTATCTGGTGAATAATCTATATGATCTCCTTTGGTAGTAGTCATTTTACCGTCAACGGTCCGTATTATAGCGTCCCCGGCGCACAAGTCCCATTTCTTTATGGCTGTGTTGTGAAGATACACGTCGTATGTACCATTTACAACACCCATAACTTTGTATCCGGCCCCTGCTGCTTTGGCTACGGTTGTTTTAGGGCCGAAAGCGTCTTTAGCTATTTGTGACACTTTTCCTTGGTGAGAAATCGACACAACTACTCTTGGGTGTTCCTTGTTTTCTTCTCTCTGAAAAAAAATTATTTAGATGACATTATAACATACTAGATTTTTACCCACATGCGCGTTTAATTATTAGCCGACATATTTTATTAGTGAAATTATTACGACTACATTTATCAAATACCATATCGCGTTCCAAGTAATCCGTAACGTATACGTGAGAAATATTCACATAAACTTTTTATAATCTATATATATAGCTGGCCTTCGTTGTCCATTAAGACGCATAGTGCAATCATATAACAACTATTTTAGCGATATTGATAGTTTTTTTGACTCACGTGTGTGCTTTAAAAATATATCGAGAATAAATTACATATATCAATATACCTCCATAAGAGTAGTAGCTCAGATGGTTAGCGCTCGCTGTAAATTTCACAGTAAGCGAGCAACCCGGGTTCGATTCCCGCCCGCATGGGCCAGTGAGTCATCCTCTCTGTGCAGAGATGAAAGAGATGGCTGACAGAAGTTCCCTTGGACAGCCTTGGCGAGAGAAAAGTGCGCTGGTGTTTACATCCCGAGACGTTGATGCGTCAGCCCAGGCCCGGTAGCACTCCTACTTATAGCGTGATGCTATTTTACAGGAGCGACCAAACCATCACTGATTCAGTCCTTAAAATACTAAGCCACTTAGAGATTATTTGTGAGCCGTGGTAGCTCAGATGGTTAGCGCTCGCTGTAAGCTTCACAGTACGCGAGCAACCCAGGTTCGATACCCGGCGGCACCAATGAAGTTGTTAATTGCAATTTTAAGTGCCGATTTACCACGTGCTCGACGGTGAAGGAAAACATCGTGACGAAACCTGCATGTCTGAGAAATAAGAGAAAAAAATTCGAAAACATGTGAAGTTGACCAACTTGCATTGGGGCAGCGTGGCGGACATTTCCTTGCCCTAAAACCCTCTCAGAAATAAGGGGAGGACTGTGACCAGAATTGGGACGTATATAGGCTGTAACTTTAACTTTAACGTCTGTTAATCGTACTTATTCTCACTGTTGTATTCCTTTAAGAAATAGAGGGACGGTATAATAAACATTCAAATATATCGTATTCAATATAAACACTGTCCTCCAGACTGAGTTTTAGTCAGAGGATCAATTATGTTTCAACTAGGCTGGACGTCGTTCGTTTATAGTCCTCAAAATCTTAAAACGTGTACTACCAGTGCATGTTGCCAGTGATGACTTATGGAACTCCTGGCTGTAGAGGAAGCTCAAAGTCAGTTAGCCTGGAATGGAAAGTGTTATGCTCGGAATTTCTCTGCGTGATAAAGTTCGTAACGAGGATATCCGCAGAAGAAAAAGAATAACTGACAGAGCCCAGCGTACAAGTATATAGCTTGAATAACCAATAATCGATGGGAAAGTTTTTTTTTTTACATGGGTAAATGCAGGGTCAAGGATGGGTTATATAGGACTCGCACCGACTAAAACCCTATTTTTGGTTACCACCTTCGCCGCATATTGGGAGGGCCATGGGAACGCTTTCGCACCAGCCGAGAAGGGGCCACCCCATGGCAGCCCCTTCTCGGGGTAGGGTTTCTCCTCCTCATTCTCCTTTTCCGGCAACAGGAACACAAGACACGCCTTCCTCCACGGTCTCAACTCCACCTGCGTTATCCCCCCCCCCCCCCCCGCCCCGAGTCCGATACGTGGAGGCCATGGGGCCCCTTTCTCGACCCCAGCGGCGGATCTGGTCTCTGGTTCCGCCGTCAACCAAGTTACGGGGTTGGATTTAGAATCGTTTGGCAGGAATTTGGGGGAGTAAGGTGTTTTATTTGGTAGAGATTTGGTCCCCGATTATAATAATACCACTCACATTAAAAGGTAATGCATCATTATCGAAAAATAAAAATAAAAAAAATGATAACCTAAAATGCGTAAGACATGGAAAAATTACTGTGAAAACTGGATAGCATAGAGAATTTTGTGTAAGTGCGACAAGGACGTAAGACTAGTGTCACATTATTCTACTGTCTATACTCTCTGTCAAGAGATATTTCGCTAAAGACAACTATAATAATAGAGAAAATTTTACTGACTTGATATATGAATCTTTTTTTTTTTATAGGATAAGGGTGACAAACGAGCACACAGTTCACCTGATGGTAAGTGGTTGCTGCGGCCCATAGACATCTACATCGATCCTCTGTTACAAATCAAAATGTAGATGCGTTGTCACCCGTGAGGACTAAGATGGAATGCCTCATTTCCAGTAAAAAGGGCCTTTCTTTATGGAGAAGAGAAATTATAAAGAATACATGAAATCTTTACATTTACATTTACATGAATTATTAAAAAATTATGTTTACAGACAATAAAGAAATGATAATAATATACTGTTTTATTTCTGAAGTGTTTAAAACTGCCCAGAAATACTTAAACACCCAGAAATAATTTCAGTTGTAATAGGTTAGAAAGTTGTGGCGTGAGCGAAGGCAACCTGACTTTATAGATAAGATATCTGATCTGATCGAATCTGTACTAAAATTAAACCAGCACGCCCCGACTCCACGTAGCCTTGTCTGCCCTACTCCTAGTGTTTCGTAAAGCCGTAGGCGCGGAGGGAGAGCAGCCCCCGCCTCCCGTAGCAAATTGCAGGCCTATGCTTCGCTACGCAAGGGCTGCACTTCCCGCAGCGCCGAATCCGTTGTAAAAGTAACTTTGGGTCAATATTCCTGTGTAAAAAGATAGGGTATGACTTTACAAAAAACCCTTACTCATAAACTATACTTTTACGCAACCAGGTAGAGGTAGAGGGGTTTTCCCTGATAAGGCAGACTCCTGCTACCCTCTTCCCCCCTCCTGCCGGAGACGATAAATGTTACTTTCAGGTTAGATCTATGAGATTTTCTTTTTGATTTTTCTCAAGAACGGTGTATTACCTTTTAATGGGGGTGGTGTCGAGAGTAAGGGGACGCTCCCCCCTTACCCTCCTCTCATCCCCCTTCCCCTGCCAAACGATTCTAAATTTCAACCAAGTTACGGCCGTGGAGGGTAGGGAGAGCGGCACCTCGCAATACAATACCGACACTCCTCTCCCCACGCCGCCCCATCTCCACCGCGTCAACGGTGCGGCCCCGTCACAGTCGCGGATGATAGGTTGAGTGGCGCATCGCCATACTCGTCTTCCCGCGCCTCCAACTCGACTGCAGCGGTAGGGGAAGAGGACACCTCTCTCGCCGCAGTCCACCGACACACATCCAAAGTTCGCTCGCCAAGCCCACTCGGTGTAGCCACCTCAGGCAGGCACCACTACCCAGCCAAGGGGTTCCTCATTGTTCACCGCGGGTAACCAAGCCACGGCTACTAAGCCCCCCACCCCGACTAGGTGGGAACCCGTTCAGGGGGGTCACAAGTGACAGCCTAGTGCCGGCAGACGTAGTTGTTGGGCATCTTAGAGTCTAGATCAGGGTTTCCCAACCTTTTTTTGACCAGGGTCCACTTTTTTGTTGTCAGGGACCACATAGTTAATCTAACAATAAGTTCTAATCAAAACTCTTAAACATAATTATACAATCAACTGAAAAGAAGCATTCATTCACAGTATTATTTGTGTATTTATTATAAAATAAATCATAATACATGTTTGGTAAAAAGTTGCGATTTTGATTACGACCCGACACGCAGTGTTGCACTGCCCGCATGAGGTGAAAATAATAAATGTGTTATTTGAAACGATTCATCATCATCATCATTACAGCCTTTCATAAGTCCACTGCTGAACATAGGCCTCCCCCAAGGAATGCCACAAAGCACGGTCCTGAGTCACCTGCATCCATCGACTTCCTGCATGTCTTACCAGGTCGTCGCTCCATCTAGTGAGGGGTCGCCCTAAACTTCGCCTACCAGTACGAGGCTGCCACTCGAGAACCTTTCTTCCCCATCGGTTGTCGGTTCTTTGAGCTATATGGCCGGCCCACTGCCACTTCAGCTTACTAATCCGTTGGGATATGTCAGTTATTCTGGTTCTACTGCAGATATCCTCATTTCTAAGTTTATCACACAGAGAAACCCCGAGCAAAGCCCTCTCCTTAGCTCGCTGAGCAACCTTGAGCGTCCTCATACGGCCAGCAGTGAAGGACCACGTCTCAGATCCGAAAGTCATCACTGGCAACACACACTGGTTGTACCATTTCGTTTTCAGATTTTGAGGTATGTCTAACGAGAAGATGTATCGTAGTATCCCGAACGCTGCCCAGCCGAATTGAATCCGTCGATTGACCTCTCGGTCAAAGTTGGTCTTACCTAGGCGGATTATTTGTCCCAGGTAAACATACTCGTCAACAACTTCGAACTTAGTGCTCCCAACAACTACCGGCATAGGTGTGACATGGATGTTAAACATGATTTTTGTTTTGTCCATGTTCATCTTAAGACCTATCTGTTGGGAAACACTATTGAGGTCATTGAGCATAGTACTTTAAATCTTTTGTAGACCATATTTAAGCTCCTGCGGACCACTGCATACTAAGCTCTGTCACATTCTGCACTGTCAAATTTAATACTAAAAATAACAAATTCAATACTCACATGAACAATATTAGCCACATTACTTGAAGTTTTTTTTGCAATCCAACCCCAGTAAGTCTGAGGATTTTGTGGTGGGAAAGGATAATGAATTACTCCAATTATCGGTATACCTTTATACGCCACACATACCATAGTAGTCACATACTGATAAAGACCCTCTGTAAATATATTATACTTTGAATAGTAGTAATAAATAAATTATAGACTGAATTAATTTTACTATGTTAGCATATAAGTCTTGCTTATGCATAATCAAAAACAAGTTAATCTATACTAATATAATAAAGCAGAAGAATTTTTTACACACTAATCTCTGGAACTACCAGTCCGATTTAAAAAATTATTTTTGTATATGATGTATGTTTATGTATATGTTGAATAGCCAGATTCATGAGAAATAGTATTCAAAAGAAAAAGTGCTTCTGAAATGATTTATCCACGTGCGCTGACGAAATGGTTAGTGATACGTAAATATAATATTCTACAATACTATAGATCTTTACTACATATAGATGTTAATTTTTTTTTTTTAAATATTAAAATTATGGAAAATAATAGTGATTTATGAGCGTTATTTGTATGTATGTAGGCATGGCATATTAATTCTTATGAACAAAAGCTACTTCATCATCAAGACAATTTTATGAAGATAAACTTTGCTCTTTATAGTATGTTATTTGGACACATAGTTTAAGAGATAATATAAAATTAAAATAATTCAAAACTTGGCTTGGTACATAAACTCTAACCGCCTGATGAGAACTGAGAGAAATCAGCACTCAATGCTTCTATGGGTTAGATTAGTTCAATCATTTGAGTGCATTTTTTTTTTTCAGTTTTAAGGAATTTTGTACACAATACATGAAAAGTGTGTAGGTACAAAATGATCCTTAATAAATTTGCTATCAATTTCTTACACATTAATGTAATTCTTATTGAATGTTGTGGTGTTTTTTATATAAGTTCTACATGAACGAAGTTATGAGTTAAACTAGTTCTAAATAAGTACATAATCATAGAAAACTTCATATTCACCTGTATACTCCTTAGTTGCATCTAAGGGATCAATCCATATGGTAATATCTTTTGTAAAGACTAGTTCATCATTCATATATTCTATTATCCTATTATTACTTAGTACTGTATCAGTTTCAAACGGTTTTTGACCTTCGCATTTAGGATCGTTATTAGAGTGTTCTTCTGACACCACCCTCAATTTTGGAAATGTGTTTCTGATACCGTAATACATTGTACAATGCGAAGCATAGTCCGCAACTGTGACAGGATCATTAACTCCTTCTTTGGTTTTCCCTTTACTTTTTATGTCCATGTCGTGTTTTATACCCTCAGCTACTTTTGTACCACCTAACTCAGCAGCGTGAATTGCTGCTTTCAGCAATGTTTTCAAATTAATTAAATCATTCTTGTCCGCCGGATATGTTGACCCACCCGAACGCCAATATATTATGAGAAACAAAATAAACGCTAACGTAAAACATGCGAATTTATTTATCCTTAACGTCCCGCCGAAATTCATTTTGCGTTGTTTTTATATACTCAGGTTTATTTAATAATTCATGACATGAAGTCCGAGACTTCAAACATATAAATTATAAATGAAATTGTTTTAGTTTCAGCATTGACATCTGGTAATCTGGTTCTGGCTACATATTTATTTATCTATGATTGACATTGATTGTTGTTGTTTTTATTATTCGCTCGAGAGAGCAGGCAAAGAAACTATGCCATACAGCCTTGTCCTTATGTATAATTATCCTTCATGGTTCACTGCTTCACAATATGTTGATGCGTCACATTGCGCAGCCCTTGGAAGATTTTGACGGCAACTTGAGCCAGCCAAGAAAGTCAGTCGATTAAATTACAAAAGTACGCAATTTAGTCGTTCGATAGTTGGCCAACTTACAATTATATGTCTGCGGTAGCTCTTAGTGCTCCCGCAGACATACAATTGTAAGTTAAGTAAAAGTAAGACTAAATTGCGTACTTTTGTAATTTAATGGACCAACTTTCAAAATGCCCTATGAGGCAATCTATAGTAGAGACCTAGGTACAGCAATAAACTTTTAGAATGTAATGGATGGATGGATGAAGTAGGAAAATAAATAAATTCAAATTTTTGTTAGCAATAGAAAGCAGTTTAATAATGTTTTATAAAGTACTTATAATATATATATATATGTTACGTTATTAAACGACTTTCTTCTTTGACAACCTAAAAATGATAGAACAGAAAATAATGATTTAGATCTATGAAGCTGCAAACAATATTACAAATTAAACAACACCATGGTTGTTATAAAAGGTGACTTAAGGTAAATTATAGACAAAAATATATGCTTAACATTTATGTATATTGCATTATTTGAAGGCACGGATGGGCTAATATATACAATATATAACTAAATAAATATAATAAAGTGAAGTACCTAATCCATAGTCTCTGAGGAATTCGCATGTTTGCCTACAGAGAGAGATTACTTACAGGCTCTAGATTGTACTTTATGTAATCTTTGTTGATTTGCTTTACTTTTATTATGTAGCTACCGTAGGTCCTACCTAACATGAAGGTAACTCCGTTTCCGTATAATTTAGTTAATCATTTATGCTCACTGCTCAGACCCATGACACCGAAATAATGCATTGCATAACGCAAAATTTTTTCACATAATACGACAGAATAAATCAAGAAAAACCTTAATAAAGTATGTTATTGAAAGAATTTATTGTTAGCAATGTAACATCACTAAAAAAAATTTAAATTATTTTTTAGATTTTAGATTAAAATTTTATAGATACGCAAAGAATGATAAGAAGTAATTAAATAATATGAATTAAATATTTAGGGTAAATAATTATATCCATCTTGTTTAGGCCCAAACATGGGCATTTGAAATGCCATCCAATCGCGTTTGACTAATCGCATCGCCCGATGGTGTGAGATGATGCGCGCCGCCAGGGGGGGGGGGGGGGGCAGCGTTATAACGCTTCTCGGCGTTCGGCCTCGTGGGCGAGTACCGGTAGCTTGACAGCAGCTCAGTAGCTTAGTCTGTCTAAGTTGTACGTTCGTGACAAGAGGCGTGCATTGAATTTGACTGATTAAAGTAATTACGTCAATTATTGTATAGTGATTGCATGTGGAAGTGCTTTTTGCAATATTTAACTTGCTTGTGTGACGTGGAACTTTGCGCGCACGTCGAGTAGACATACGGTCTGGAATTTAATGCTCGCATTCCATTTCGAGGGCGTGGCCTTTTAATTGTTTTTGGAATTTAATGTTTAATTGTACCGTTGCGTTAAGTGCCTTTTGTGTGTTGACTATGTAGTAAGTCTAGTAAGTTTGCGTGTCAGCTAGGCTGATTTTGAGTCTTAATGCGGGCGTAGTATTTAATATCGTACGAAGAAATTTAGTTGTTGTTTATAACGCGGAACTTTGTGACCCTAGAGAAGGTCGCGTTCGGTTCTAGAAATAATTTTTTGCCGAGTGAAAACGGAAGTGAACTACGATCCACCGTTCATTAGTCGTGCCGTGTGTTACGTTTTTGATTACGATTAACGTGGATTTAGTTCAGTTTGAAATTAGTTAAATGTACAATAAAGTTGATGGGTTGAAATAGTGTACAATAAAGTGGATAGACTGAAATAGTGAAATGAAGAAAGAAGTTGTCAATTGGTGACGTCCGCTGGAGTGATACAACATTGTGGGGCAGCATCGGACCAGGCCGCTGCCCGATCACCTCAGTTAGGTCAGGTCAATGAATGACACTTAGACTCAGACTTACACTTCCTTGAGTGAAAAAGAGATAGGCAGCACATTGAAAGTTCTATGTCGAATATAACCATATTTGTATATCAAATAAAACATATAGACGCTCTGGGCAGCTTCTCTATTTTCTATGCTCAAAGCCTGCTCCCCAGCTCCCCTGTGACCATGGGCATGAAACTTAGAACATTATTTTACGAACAAAATGATACGTTTTATGTGCTTCCATACATTTCGAAGCGCTAGGCTAGACTTATTTTAATCTCACTAGATGGCACTTATATATTAAGTCTATACATACGCAATAATCCACGCGCACTACGCAGTTAGTAGCGGTCACTGGTAACGCTTAAATTGTTATTAATATTTATTGAACTTTTTTTTTTAAATGCCATTTTATCTGTTTTCAGACAATGAAAAACTGCTAAGTTATTATTAGAATACAAAGGTAAATTTCGCCACAACGCACAAGGTTATAATAGCTCAGGTGGATAATCGGGCGGTCCCGAAATCTAGACCCCGGATCGCGTCCAGCAGATGTGTTTATTTTTTCCCTTTTTTTCAAGTTCCTTCTTTTGTAAGTGCCGTCTGTTATGCAAAGTACGACACTAAAGAAAACTCAGTACTACTACACTGCATAATTATCACAGAGTACTTTATAGAGTTTTGGCGGGAACTTGACCGGCGACGGATCGCTGCTCCTGTATTATTGTTTAAATAATGGTTTGAAGTGGATTTTGATATGTAAAAGTGATGCGATTTTATGTATTAAATGTCTACGCATGTGAACTATTAGTGGAAACGGTGAAACAAGTGCTCTGATGGTGATGTGATTCTCAAGATAAGGTGTCTGTCTGCATAGGCACCTTGAGATAGATACCATCGCCAACTGTCAGCTGTCTGCTGGCTCAAGTTGCCGTCAAAATCTCCCAAGGGCTGCACAATGTAACGCATCAACATATTGTGGAGCAGTGTACAATGAATGATAAATAATTATACATTGTAACTTCAGGCTCAGAAGGGCTAGTACCCAGAGCCGTAAAGCCAGTTATTAAGAAGATAAGAAGAAGTAATTTATATTATATAGGGGGATAATTATCAATATACTATTAAATAAACGTATTATGATTTAAATCAATTTAAATACTCTTTGACTCTCAAGTCTAACGCACCACTTGTACTTGTAACTAGCAATTTTCCTATTTAACTTTTCTTCAACTCAAGTAGTCGATTACTCGATTACTTTGCGCTTGCTAGCGCAGCATTGCTGCCGTAAAACGTAGTGTCCCCTAATCTCTCGTTAGATAGTGGTTTATTCCTTGGTAGTGATTACAATCTATTGGCATTATAGCAACCTTAGTGATAATATAGTTCTTTGCTTTAGTACGAGTCACTTCATGTATAATCATATCACATCATCACAATTACTCGGACGAAGCTACAAACTTAAAGGAAGAATTTATAGCTCTCGAAGCGCAGAAAATCTAAGTGAAATATAAGACCGATTACAGCAGTTGTAATTAATTAAGGTACAGTTACAGTGCTGCACAAAAATGATTTTGATCGATATTTATGATATGGTAAGTAAATTTAATTTTAACCAACATCTTTCCAATTACAATCTAATTGAAATTTAATTTTACACCAAATTATTTGCCTCTATTTTCATAATCTTACGAAACAGATGAGTTGGTGGACACTTGTTATTGCAATACAAGTTATACTTGGTTCAACATACTTTTTATGGACAAGAAGAAGTAAAAAATATCAGGATCCGCTTATGACTGACCAGCCTATTGAATGGAATCCAGTGCCATTGGTTGAGTATGATGTAGATGTTGAGGAGCCTCCACTTATGGGCAAAATAGATGAAAATGTTCTTAATGTTGGTGCTACAAGTTTTCTATGTTTTGATAAGGAAGAATCTATTATAGAAAGTGCTATTGGCTCACTTCATAAGTATGGAGTTGGCTCTTGCGGTCCACGAGGCTTCTATGGTACCATAGATGTGCATTTAGAATTGGAGGAACGTTTAGCCAAATTTTTGGAAGTTGAAGAGACCTGTGTTTACTCATATGGATTTTCCACAATTGCAAGTGCAATACCAGCATATTCTAAAAAGGGTGACATCATTTTTGCGTAAGTATTCCAACAAACAGGAAAGTATCTATTTGACAGTATTAATAATCTCTTATGAATTATTTTCCTGTAATATTCTCTATATTATAACAATATGTATATTTTATTACGAAGTAATTTGACTCTTGTATCTTTAATAATAAATTATACCTCAAAATAATATGGCATTTAATCATCAAATCATTATTTAACAATCAAAGATCATTAACCATTACTGTTACCATTACAGTTAATTAAAATCCACTGCTGAACAAATTAAAATCCACTGCTGAACACAGGCCTGGTCTTGCAAAAATGTAAGAACAAGACTAAGACCGATTTTGGGCAACACTAAGGGTACATATTGACATCATTGAAACAACATCAGGCAAAAAAGTTGACTGTCGTAAATTATTTTATATTTTGCTTTTTTTGAAAGATTCGAACTTAAATTGGTGATAAATAATTATACATGAAATGTAATGAAATATATATTACTTCATAATTATTGGGATTTATGTAAAGCATTATTTTAAATAGTGTGAGTACACTTTTACAAAGTTATTGTGGAATGATTAATGTGAAACTTCAAAAAGTATTTCTTATTGGTATAACAAAAAGGAAATATATTCACCTTTCATTATCCTTCGGGAACTTAAAAAATGATATATCTGAATCTTTTTGGTTGCTCATCAGGCATCCATCCCGATCCCCGCAACAATTATAGTAGGAATGATGATTTGCCATTATAATTTATGAAATAGATAGGTAAAATACATATAATATTATTCTAAAATTACATTAAAACTTTTTCAACTAAAATTATACTACAATTAAATATATTAAACAGTAAACAAAAACTATATAAAGTAATAAGTATTGAGCTACGAGACATAATTTTAAGTGATTGTTGTGAATAACGGAAATAAGTGTTGCATAAATGCGACACAAGCGGTCAAAAGGTTAAAAACTTTAACATTCATTCATTTGGCAAGAGAAAAATAGTTTTATATTTTTAAATTAGAAGTTTTCAAAATGATATTGATAAAATATATATTTTTGAATGTTTGAAGTATAGTGATTACGGAAATATTTCTAATTTTATTTATATTTACTAAGTGGTGAGGTTTTTTTTTCCTTAAGTCTGACTAAGCATAAGTACATCTCTTTATATTTACAGACTGTGAGGCATAGAATATTAATCCAGAGAAATAAATTGAGGCAGAATGAAATGTAACCATTTGCCTTTGTTACATTTACATTTACACAAAGACTTCTATGTATAACTACCAGACGGGCACTATGGTACAAATACATTGCCTACTAAGTTACGGTATATTCTCCGTAACTTCTTTAGTCGTCTGCGAATGGGCGAGATGAGTTGTTCTTTTTCTACCTCCTTCATACAGGGGGAGGTACTCAATTCGATTTTTTTTTTTTATGTGTGTTACCTCATAACTTCTTTCTGGACGAACCGATTTCGATGATTCTTTTTTTATTTGAAAGCTGGTCCTTCACATGTGATCCCATATAAATTTGATCATGGTCTGACTAATAGTTTTTGAGTTATTCTTATTTATTTTATTTTTAATTTTAAATTATTTTGTAAACCGCAAACGTTGTTTTCGACAATTTAACACTGATTTGTTTAATATGAGTAAAACGCTGTCATTATTTTTGTGCGCATTTTGTCAACTTGATTTGAAGTTTATTTTAGATAAGTGTACGTAACTTTATTACGTATTTTCCTAAACACAGTAACAGTCGTAAATAAAAATACAACTGCGGCCGCGCGATCTACAGCTGTGACAGTTTTTGTTCTGAATTGCCGATCTTGTAGTCTACATAGAAATCTTTGTATTTACACAAAAACACACAGCAAGTGTTATTTTTACGTGATAGAGCCACACTGCAGCTATATTATGGTTGTAGCATAAATGGATCGGCTCAACCTGAGTAGGACCACGCTCTCACAGAATACAAGTCGCGGCACGTATGTCTAGCGCTGAAGGAAACGTGGAGGGATAGCTACGCATAGTAATGTCGCACACGTATCACGGATCAGTACGTGGGACGGTTTGCGAGTGGGGAACCAATCAGCGCGCGGAATGCGACTGGAGAGCCAATCAACCCGCCCCGCGACCCGCTTACTACCCCACAATACCTTATTTTCGACTTATGCGCAATAACGGTCACCGCTAGACATACGTACCGCGATTTATGCCAGCGTAAAATAGCAACTTAATATTGTTGTGTTTCGTATGGTGAGTGTAGAGAACTTGAGAACTTTTTTACTGAAAACGAGGCATTCCATCTCAGTCCTCAAGGGTAACAACGCATCTGCATTTTGATTCTTAATCGAGGATAAATGTAAATGTCTATAGGCCAGAGCCGTCCTACTATGCGCTCGTTTGTCACCCTTATTCTATATAAAATAAATTATAGCTTATTTTACACTTTAATATAATTAAGAAAATATATTTCCAAATAACTTGAGCATGACTTATTCCCAGTTTTAGACCGTAATAATGGTACCTATACATATAAGACAATTGAAATTAACCTTTGAACTTATTTTGATAACAGCGATGAAGCAGTTTGGTTTGCAATCCAAAAAGGAATCGATGCATCCCGCAGCACTGTTCGTTATTTCAAGCACAATGATGCTAAAGACCTGGAGCGGCTCTTAACTGAAGCAGCACAGAAAAGAGAATTAAATCCGAAGAGGCGAGCGTTCTTGGTTGTAGAAGCCATATACTACAATACCGGTGAAATGTGCCCGCTGAAGCAACTTGTGGAATTAGCTAGGAGATTTAAGTTAAGAATTATTTTGGATGAGAGCTTATCTATTGGGGTATGTAACACTGTAGTGATTTATATTTCATTTTTTTTAATTAATTTTGTGTTTGCTCATGATATCATCACCATGATTATAGCCCGTCACAAGTCCACAAGTGGACATAGAGCTTTGAACGCAATTTTCTGAACATAAAGCGTAACTGTGCATAACACCTTTGAACAAGCCTAAATTGCATAATTTTTTTTTGACTTTATGGCATGCTACAAATTCCTTCTTGCATGTGTCTTACCAGCTTGTCACTATCTTTAGTGGTGGGCTGCCCTACTCTTTACCTACCGGTATGGAAGTTGTCGCTTTGGTCACAATTGTTTAGAACTTAAAAGCACTGCATCTCCATCTGTCGTTTTTGATGTAGTAATTATATCCATCTATACCATCTGAATGATTGGCGGTAGACTAATGTGAGATTTACTAGAAATTATTGTCCTCGCACTACTTCCTTGTGGAATCGATTACTACCAGCAACTTTTCCGGATGAATACAACTTAGGGACATTCAAGAAAAGAGTTTACTCTTTTTTAAAAGGTTGGCAACGCGTTTGCAAATCCCCTCATGTTGTGGTTGTTCAAGGGGCGGCGGCAGTCACTTACCATAAGGTGAGCCGCAAGTTCGTTTGTCCCCTCTTATATAAAAAACTAATAATCTTCATGTTAATTGAACTATGTATTGAATTTATTAGGCTATTGAAAATAAATTAAAGGGACGATGTTTCTTCAACCAATTTACGTTGTTTGACCTATTTACTTCTTCGCTCTCATTGATAGCAATTAGTATAATTTGATCTGTAATATGATAATTGTGAGAAATACGAAGCGGGTAATAAATAAGCATTTAAGAAACATTGTAGAGAAACTAGCCGGCGTGTAACCACATGTGTAGATAAACGGTTCCGTTTATTTACTCACGTAGTGTAACGAAACGTTTGGTGATTTGCAATCGAAAATCCCGCCAAGCTTTAAGCAATAATTACTAAGATCCGGTAAGTCATCCTCAGGGGAAGTAGACTCCGCTATGGTACTTGCGATAAAGCCACCGCATCTACAAATATCAAGGTCTACTTCACCCGAAGATGCCTCGTTTAGTGTCTTTCATAGTATAGTGGTGTTGGAAGTAGTGGTGCTGGGATTAGATATTGTTTATTATTTACATAATGTGGACGTGTTATAAAACAAAAGTTACACAACATGTTACTTAATGTGTACGCACCCTTACGCGGATCTTAGCTCATTAATTTTTAACATCTATACATATAAATAAAATTGAAGTGTCTGTTTGTGATGTTAAAATTACTGCTTTTTATTAAATGCACATGAAAGTATATACGGTACTAATAACAACAAAATAATTTTTACATTTTTTATGTCTGTCTGTCTGTTTGTTCCGGCTAATCTCCGAAACGGTTGGACCGATTTTGACCGGACTTTCACTATCAGATAGCTTATGTTATAAGGAGTAACTTAGGATACTTTTATTTTAGAAAAAGATTTAGGGTACCGCACAAAAAATTAAAACCCTTGAAATCGTAGTAAATTCCACGCGAGCGAAGTCGCGGTGAACAGCTAGTCTTTAATATAATGGGTTTCCGCAAAGTGACGCCTGATTCTATTAATTATTTTGAAAGATACGATTATCCAATGTTGTACTGAGCATGAGTTATTTTCAATCGTATTGAGTTCTAAAACTACTATACGTGTGTGATAGGTCCTTGATTTTATATGGATTTGCTGCGTTCGTAATCCCGAAACAGAATTCCCAATGTATGTATACAGGTGTCCCTGAACTCAACGTCAAGCCGAAACGGGGTGACAGGATTGATTGTAAATTGTGGAAAAATCCGAAAAAAAAATCTATCAAGTATATAATCAAACTGTAACCATTTTTCGGTTATTGTGGTTAATTTTTATTATTTTTGTTCATTTAGACTTTGAAACCGTAACCCTAAATAATATTTCTAGAACCACAGTCAAAAATAATGACACACCTGCCCCAAGTTCTAGAATTAAAACTATTTGTTAAATTATGAATTTAAAATTTTCAAAATTTGTCGACTTTCAAAGGCCCTCTTTTAAAAAAAAATGTACTAAAGTGCCTTGGCAAGTGCCATTAAAAGTTCGCGCATTTAATCAGGATTGTAAATTGGTACAATACTTATTAACTTCCTTCTGCGTAGCATTGAAAGGAAGTTAATGGTTTTAGCTGGCAGTCTGTTAGTCTGTATGCCGACACGATAACTTCCGTTCCACTGGACCGATTGACTTTAAATTTGGTATGTGGATACCTTGAGGTAGTAGCTCGGTCGAGTTTGAATTTGGGTCCTGTAGGTCAAAGGGCACCAGAGATATGGGATTCACGCAGAAGGAAGTTGTTTTTCTTGAATTTACATTCAACTCGTTAGTTTCATACTAAAAAAAACTATTAAAAAAAATAAAAACCTCGAGTAATCCAATTTTTGCTAACCCATTTTACTCAGTTGATATGTTTTTTATTCAAATGGTTTTTTTTTATTGATGTGAGAGATGGATAGTGGACATGTTTGCCATGAGCGACCGAGACAGATAGTGACGCCACTTATACCAAAGTCAACAAAAGTAAGTAAAATTAATAAAATAATGAAAAATCTTGACCTAGTTTAGTTTAGGTTTATTGGAATAAAAGTCAGATAGGTAAATAACATTTTTTATTACAATAAATGTACAAATTGTTTACCATTAGCCTCAATACACGCCCTACATTTTATTTAAAAAAAATCTAATTATTAGTCAGGCATATCCTCGAGAGTTGATGTCCTCAGCAGCTTGAAAAATTCGTTTATTCAAAAAAATCCAGGGGATTTAAATCTGGGGAACGGGCTGGCCACGAGATAGTGCCAGAACGTCCAATCCGCCTTCCCGGATATTCCTGGTCAAGGAAATCTCTTACTTGCACTGCGTAATGCGCTGGGCAGCCATCTTGTTGATACCACATGTGGCGACGATCTGTTAGTGGTACGTCCTCTAAGAAAGTTGGTAAATTTTCTCGTAAAAAATGTAGGTAATTCGTGTCATTCAAGTTCTCAGGCAGCTCAAAAGGCCCAACAAGTGCGATACTGGGATCTGGCTTCTCGCATTAAATGTGGATTCGCCATCTTTTTTAAATGTAGATTCATCTGACTAGAGAATTTTTTGGATGAATTGGGGATTTTCATTATGCCTCTGTAGCATTGTTCTACAAAATGAAATCCTTTCAGGATAATCTCGAGGAAGAAGACTTTGAACTCGTTGTATGTGAAACGGATGCATTTCGGCTCTTTGTAAAATACGGTGTGATGTGCTTTTGGGTATTCCCGTTCTTTCTTCAATTCCTCGAACGGAAATACTTGGGTCATCTGCGACCTCTTGCAACACTTCTTCCTCGTAAGGAAAGCGAGCTCTACCTCCAGCCCGTATTTGATTCGGAAAATGGCCGCCCTCCGTGAGTGAACGGTGCACATTAACAAACACGCGGTGATCCGGATAGCGCTCTAAATTTGGATATCTTTCACGATAAAGTCTAGCGGCGGCACTTGCGTTGCATCTGCATTCCACATAAATGAGGTGCCTGTTCGCATATTGTTGTGAAGTGTAGCGCGTAGGCATAGTAGATAACAAGGATGCCAACACAAAAGTCCAATACCAAAAGAGAGAAGCCAAGCTTGTGCGAATAAAAAACATTTGAACTGAGTAAAATGGGTTGGCAAAAATCGGGTTACTCGAGGTTTTTATTTTTTTTTTACTAATTTTTTTTAGTATGAAACTAACTAGTCGCACCTTTATTCATAAACTGCACTAACACAAAATTTCAGTTTTGTGGGAAATCGCATTTAAAGTTTGACATGTTGAGATCGACGACTTCAAAAAATTATAAAAAAAAATAATGGATGGCTTTGGTCAGTTACAAAAATAGATGTGTATAGCTTAATTAACAAAGTATTAGAATGAGGTCGAAAATTATTATATTTTGATCAAGAATACAATATAGTAGTATTTAAAAAAAAGTTCCTACTTATTTCACTTTTTACTAAAATATGTAATCGAATAATTTAGATGCAAGCGGAGTAACTGAAAATATTACAGTTTTATATTAAAATGATCTTGTTAGTATGTTAAATATTTAGATTATTTGCAGTATTGATATATTATAGGCATGAATTGTCGACGAAATATTTCTAATTATTACTTTCTTGATTTTAATTCATATAAATTTCACAGGTAGGTATTATTTTTAATAAAATAAAGAAATATTTTTATGTTTACATGTTTTAATTATTTAAAAAGATAACATTATTTTAGTAACACTACTTAACGATGTCTTAATAAACAGTTCAAATACTTCGGTGTAGGTACCTACTTAAATACTTCTGTGCATACCTATTTCAAGGTATAGTTGGTAATATAATTATTAAGTAAAAACTTCTTATTAAACTTCAGAGATATTCATGTCATTAAAAACAACAAAAACTAAAATTTTCCCAAATCTTTAAATTAACAAAATTATATTCATAATTAAACACTAATTGTTTTGGTTTTCATATCACACTAAAAAATCAAAAATAATGAGATCTGGTTTTAAAACTTAATGTATAAATAATATTATACTTAAAGTATATTGTTATAAAACCCTGCATAAAAGAAGGTATTAATGCTTTTGAAATTAGCTCCCTTAAATCTTTCTTCTTGTTTTCACTTATTTATTGTTTATTAAAATACCTTGAAGTGTTATTTCCGTCGTTAGTTTCATTTTATTCCTTTTATTTCTTACATTAACCTCCTTGTAGTCTTTATCCTTGTATGTCTTGTAGAAAAATAAGGTAGAGTTTTCTTTAGTTATTTTTAAGACTTATTTCAATCCAGTTAACATTCTGTCCATCTGTATTTATTGTATAACTATTGTATCCCCACCCTTCTTGTAACATTTTCAAATCATAAAATGATTGATAATTCATCTCATTCATAATTAATGGAGGTTGAGACATTTTG